GGACATCGGCATACGGCATACTCATGATACTGGGCATCATATTCATAGTCATAGGCTAGTATTAAGTTAAAAAAATTAAAGTAGGCATAAAATTACTTACTAAAATGTGTCAAGCTTTGTCCACCATTTTTAAAGTGTTAATTCACCAAAATACTGTACACTGTTCGTAATATAATATACGTATTAAATCCAATTATAGGGAAATCCGTGTTTTTCCGTTACAACGCAGATTCATAACATTGTTTGTGGTCTGATTTTTTAGGGTGCCATGTGAATGTGTCAAACTGTCGGTATATATATCCTACTTTATAATAACTAACCCCGTGCACACGTATTCAAATCATTCTTCAAATGAAATTCATAATATTAAAATTAAAATATTGTTTTCATTTTATTATATATTTAACTTAAAATATGTTGTTTGTTTTTTTAAAGAAAGAAATTAGTTATCTATTTAACTGGCCCAATGTTCATATCCGTTTCCAAGAAATGTACGGGAATTTGCAGTCTGCCGACGTTTGGAATCACACAAATAATAAAAAGATGAACAGTACAGCAAACTGAAACTCTATATAAAATTGAATAAAGTGGATGAAGTAAATCTTGGCTTAGAGGGAGGGAGTGGTCTGCAAACTGCTTAGACTTATTTTATCATAGTGTTACCTCTACTGCTACTAAATTAGGCCTATATTATAATATTTGGCACTCCTCAGAACGGCGGTCCCAAATTAAAATATAATGTTCCTCGAAAAATAAATTTTTAAATTCATTTTTACCTCATGGAACTTCATTAAAATTATTTTTAAAAGTAAAATAACATCTTTTTGTTGTAAAACACCAACAATTTAACAAATTTTACGAAATCAAAACATTACATTTTAATTAATCTTTTATCTTTAACGGTGACATTGTGGTACATTGAGGAGAACTCTTCTTTCCTTAAAGATACATTATAAAAGTTGCCCAATTGGATGTATCTAGATTAAAACAAGGTAACTTTTTTGATAAAAGACAATGATTATGACAAATCTCCAGTGTTTTTTGTTCTTCTTTTTTATAATGTAGCGGTTCTCAACCCTAACTCAGCAGAGGTCGTCAACAACAATCAGAAAAGCTTTTTTATGAAATAGTAACGAAAATAATTTTATGATTGGGGGTCACCACAACAGGATGAACTGTATTAAAGGGTCATTGCATTAGGAATATTGAGGACCACTGTTCTAATGGATTTCCAACGATGTGTTTTGATGAATTCGCTACCCATACCCTTTCTCTCAGAGTGTGATCATCAGCATCATTCACGCCCTCCCCCCCCCTTTTTTTCCCCCATCTCTCAGAGGGGGGGGGGGTGAGGGTGGATTGGCCATGATAGCTTGGAGTCATTAACTGATGGTCATCTTCATAGATAACAGTAATAGTAGGTATTCTAAATGAAAATTTCAGAATGAATTTTTTTTTTAAATTGAATTACTCCCCTAATAAGCTTGGTTTAATCAGAACGACAGAAAAGTGTAGTTTTGGCACCAGCTATCTTCTAAAATAAGCAAGTTGGAACTTTCAAATCTCTTGCACACACAACCAGTTATACATTTAAAAAACTCAAATTTTTTTCAGAGTTTTGACTAAAATTTAAATACTATTTTTATTCATACAATATTTGCCGAAGCTTAATTTTACAAAATATTAAAAGCGAGACAAAAATTCTGCTCAATTAATATTATAAAAATGGGTATACAAAGCAGGAATCATTAACTATGAATGAGTATTAATGATAATCAATTTATAAGAACAAAAGGATTATTCCAGCATGGCGTGTTCACAAAATTGAAGCAATTTTTTTTTTAAATCATAAAAGATAAAGAAGCAAGGTATCTAGTATCTACATAAAATTTATAACACATAACACTTGCAAATTAGGTTTTTTTTTTAGAAACTGTTTTCTTACTCACCTTTTGATCTGACCGTAATATTGCTAGGAGGCTCCACTAACATAATGGACAGGCTTATCACTACTTGCTTGGTGGCTCCACTAGCATAATGGACAGTCTTATCACTACTTGCTAGTAGTCGTGACTCGATCATGATTAATCATGCATGACATGTTAACAAATTCAGCTGGATCTTGAAAATTAAATCCTATTCAAGCCTCTCAATCTGACTTAATGTTCTAATACTTTTTACATTACTTTAACCGTAGGAATATTGCTTTTGGTCTGAGACTGGCAAAAAATCTGGCCACACAGTGGCTAACTTAGACCAAATAATAAGGGACCGCCGTTCTGAGGAGTGCCTAATATTTAAATACCGTACCTTTCATTTCAAAAGTCTTATTTATAATTTTTATTACTTTATTAACTTTACTAACTTTAAACTTTATTCATTTTTAATTATTTTTTTAAATTATATTTTGAAAAACAAACGGGAGGGGGTATTTTAGTCCGATTTGTCAAGTCACTGGTTTAAAAATTCTATTCTATAGTCATGTCCATGTAAATTGACATTATTATGATAATGACATTATCATATTATCTCAGTGTGGACTTAATAGCCCACTATTTGCAACTATTACTATTCCTGGAGAATGCTGACCAGACCAGTTTAAAAAATACTTAAAATAGCTTTGGCGACTTCTGGATCATCTCGCACCAAATTATAATTTTACCACCTTGGCCAGGGGCTCTTAACCCTTTTGTTGTTTTGTAGTGCAATTTTTTTTAACTTATCTCCAGGATAAAAATAAAAAGCTTTTGGTGTTTTATATTTCAAAAATGCCTTGGACTTCCTGTAACTACAAGCAATCTAAGCTTAGTCTGCTAAGGCTTAAGGTGAAGCTTGTGGAGGGAAAATGTGGAATGAAAAGAAATAAAAAAATCAGCATAGAGCTGTTGTTGAGTTAATTATATTGATAAAGGGGGAGTGTCTGTCTACCTTGACAAACACTCAAAAGTGGGTCCCAAACACACACACATATTACATAATTTGATTGATTTATATAATTTTAAAATATAAACTCCGAAATTTCCATTGGTTGCCTACTACAGCCCAAGTCCATCCATCCCTGTGGCAACGCATCCCACGTAGGCTTTGACCTGCCTCACTACTTCCTTCAATGCATATGCAGTAATTGGATAAGGTAGGAATCTTACAGTTTTTTTTTAACAAAAAGATTAAAATTTAAGATAATAGCCCAATGGACAGAGGCATTACTAGGGTTGGTGTCACCAGGTGTGGTAATCTCATAGCGTCACCCCTTCCCAACCTGCAAAATACTCAAAGTGGTTGAAAAAACATGAAGACCAACAAATATTTTTGAAGAAAGGGGACAATGATTGTTTAGTAACAGGGTGTCAAATTTTGAAGTCAAATAACACACTACAATTGAATGTTTAAATTTAGTCAGTCACTTGATAAGCCACTATCTCAAAGTATCTTATGCTGATGGTAAAATATGTCTCTTTAGCTTTTGATGACATGCTTGTCATGCCTTTACTGTGTAATTATAATACTTCGACTATGTATTGTTTATAAAATAACCACTTAAACTTAAACTAACAAGCAGTTGTATAATGAGCGGGTGCAGACCCTACCTGGTGACACTCTCACGGTGGGGTGACATCAAGTGGAAAATTGCAGATTTGAAACAGTTGGCTTGAGTCAGTTTCATAACATAGAAGTCAGTTACGGGTTAGAACAGAGTGCCACTATGGCTGAGTGCCATCAAAACAGGTTGTCACCAAGCAGGGTGCCACCAGAAAAAAATTAACAATACAGGGTGGCACTAGAAAAGGGTTCCATCAAAGCAGGCAGCCTCAGGGGGGAAAGCAAAGAAAGTGGCAGAGGAGCGATCACAGGACAGTTCAAGACCCATCAAGGAAATAGCAGATATGTTTTCGTTTTAGCAGGGGTCCTCAAACTTTTAAACCGGTGACAGATTCACTGCCCCTCAGACACTGTATGGACAGAATGATAGTTTAAAAAAAAATATGAACAAATTCCTAAGCACACTGCAAATTCTTATTTGTAGCAAAGGAGGCGGAAACAATGCAATATTTTAAAAGAATAAATCTTTTATCAAAATTAACTTATTAGTATTTATACGAAAAGCCTGCTTTTGGGTTATAAGATGATTAATGAATGTCCATTTAAATATTTGTTTACTGGCAAAATCCGCTGAACACCTTTGGGCTCCTTTGTGGAAGTGACAAGGATTCAGGGGATTGTGCTATCACCACCATTGTGTCTTGTACAAACACATCAAACCGAGTGAATTAGAAAATAGATTCAGACTTATAGAACCTTGACACCACATGGCATGAATGTCTTGCTCTCATTCACTTTTTAAACCGTTTCTCCACCCTTCCATAGTTAGACCAATTGCAGTGGATTTACTTTTCCTCTCTTCCACCCATTTTGCCTGTATTTAATCTCTCACCTTCTTTTCTGTCCCATTCCCCTTGATGTTAATGTATGAATGGTTTTTTTTTTTATAGTTTTTTTTTTTTTTTTAATGGTTTGCTTTTCTTGCTTTCCCGTTATTGGTACCGATTTCAGTTTTCAATGCATTCCCTTGTTTGGCATATTTTATAAATAAAAGCATTAATTGAAATCTATTTTAGAAATCTAATTTTTTTTTTATTTTTGTATTGTTTTTTTTTTTATAGTTTTTTTTTTTTTTTTAATGGTTTGCTTTTCTTGCTTTCCCGTTATTGGTACCGATATCAGTTTTCAATGCATTCCCATGTTTGGCATATTTTATAAATAAAAGCATCAATTGAAATCTATTTTAGAACTCTAATTTTGAAGCACTTTAAGATATTCGTTGACCAAAATGTGACAGTGTGATTAAAAAAAACAACAAATAGACACAGTGAGACATATCAATGATTCTGAAAATGAACACAAGTGTATTTAAATTCTAGTACCGGTATATTAACATTTTTTCTTAACAACTTTCAATGCAATATCAACCAAAAGCATCTAAAAAATCAGAGTGTGAATACGTTTTTATTCAGATGGTGGGTTGTTGTTGTTTTTTTTAATACCGGTAAATAAAATTGTTTTTAATTACTTACAATTTTTACTCCACTTATGGGTTCAGAAAATTTTCAAATTGATTCAAGTTTCAAACCTTGTTTAACAAAATAAAGTAAACTAACAACAAAAAATATGGTCATGGAAATGGAATGTATAGAAACAATATGGTAAGTACCGGGTAGACCATTAAAACAGGGATCCAATAAGCTAACATAACATTAACACTTTGAATGAAAATAAGCAAAAAATAGTTATTTCTGCACATAGAATTCTAATAGAATATAAACTACATACTAAGGTTTTCTTTAGATTTAAAATGATAAAAAGTTATTTTTTCCTTCTTGAACTTGTACTGGGGGTATTGCTTTTGACAAATAATATTTCAATGACGTTCGGATAATCTTGAGATAGAGATATCTCTAATTGTTCTGTTAGTACAGAGGAACCCCCGCTACAACACAATAATTGTGTTTCATAAATTTAGATAAATTGATCGTGGGCCCTTAAGATATAGAAGAAGAAGAAGATACCATTAATAGCTGGGATAAACTTGAAAATCAGGTTTTTTACAATATTCATTTCTTGCAGAGAAAATATGTGTATTTATGTGTTATGTAAATTTTTTTAATCTCCTGTGGTTAGAGAGCTATGTTGAGTTTTACGAGTACCGGTATTCAAGTTCATAAGTTATCTTGTCCCATAAAATGAAGTTAGATTATTTTAAATAGTATAGGCCTACACTTTTTCATGTTCTGTGATAATTTATGTGCGAATGGATATATGAAATTTCAAGAGCCATGTCAAGATCACATTATATCCAAAGTCGCCTATAGCTTGGCACATTATGTGGGGTTCCAATGTATGGGAGATTCTTGCCTCTTATGCTCACACAAAATAGTTTTCCTCCATTCTTGGATACATGTAATTTAACTTATGACAAAAAATTTTTTATAAATGTTAATCAATTGCTAAAGAGATGATTTTAGGTATCATATTAGTATTAGGGTTTTTCATTATGTAAACTGCTTATCAAATGACACATACAAAATTCAATTTTAGTACATTTCAGAAGGAAAAAAAGTACAAATCAAGATACAAAATATCTTTGCTCATTTACTCTATTTACATATTATACAATGCACAAGATTTATTAAAATAGCTTCAGTTGTTTAAGCAAATGTTTTGGTACCCGGTAGTTTATTTTACAAGGTAATGAAACAAAATGTTGACTAGATAAACAAAATGTTGACTTGGATAAAAAAAATTTAAAAATTTTAAAAGATGCAATGAATTTCTGGCATATTTTGAATTTTCAATTGCACTGGTACTAGTAAATGTGAATTAAATAATAATGCTAAATTCATTACTGTATGATGTGCCTAAAGTACCTGTAGAAATTATTAGTGTTTGTGAATGTTTTGCTACTGGTGACTTCTATAGAAAGAATTTGAAGTGAAAGATCCCCATTGTTTTTAACAACAGATCAAATAACAAACACCAACAATGTTAAAAAAAAAAAAGGAATGTTGTTTCAAACAATGTAGGAATGGGGAAAAAATGGCACCAGGTTCATTCACAAGAGGTGTAAAGACCCAATTGTAAGGCTTGCAGTAGTCAGAATGAATATTTAAAATGTTTTATACAATCAGCAAGGCACAATGATGAAGCTTGTACGGTATTGTAAGAAAAAGTGTCTGCATTATTTTGTCCATTTTGAAAATGCAAATATTTTAAATAAATTAACTTTATTTTATTACAAGCATCCAAACTAGATGAAATTCAGCTAGTAGACGTCTAAAACTATCATTTGGGCCCAAGTCATTCACACTTGAAACTCAAGTTTTATCATCACTTTTCATCATTATTTGCATTGATAAATATAACAACTAAAAAATCTTTTTCATACTTAACAATATTTTGACTTAATTTACTTCTTATACAGGTACTAGTGAAGGATATAAGGATACATCATTGATTTAAATTGTTTCATTCTACAATTTATTTACTAGCTTTATTTCTAATTTCATGAGCAATAAACTTTCCTAACCAGATTTTTTTAGAAAACATAACATTAATCAAAATGCAGAAAGAGAAACATTACAAACAATGAAAACTGTCTTAAACTTAAACTAAATGTCCTAAAAACATCTTTCCACCTCAAAGGAATAGTCAAATAGACAGCTGTAATTTTTAAATTATATTGCTGTCCTCTAAAAATTATATCCATGTGATTGGTTGTTTTTTACATGTGTATATAGTACCTATATATCTTATTCACATCAAATTGTAAAAAGATAAACATATAATAACAAGCAATGTAGAATTTGAGCAAAACTCACTATAAAAAGAGTTAAGTATTTGTAGACTAGAAAATATAATATAAAATCCAGTAGATAGCGATTTAACACTAAATAGTACAAGACACAATGCATCCCTGAATACTGGTCTCATCAAGACTAGGTAATACGAACACAAAGGCTGTGAAGAGTGGTGACTTTGTTTTTCCATACATAAACCACATGGAATATTGCACCTGATTCAATCAAATTGTAACAAAAGCATTCTTTATAGTAGCAAATAATGTAAAAAAAACATTTTTTTACTAAGAATAGATGATAAAAGTACTGGTACCGTTACAGAGCTCTTATGTACAAAAGCATTATTATCCTCATTTGTATGTTTGTTTATTTGTGCTCCCTTGAACATGGAAATACATAAACTGGTACACTTTGTTCAATTGAGATGTGCCAGATCAGAAAATAGTTTAGTGTCTGTTATATTGCAAATGCTTAATTTGTTCATGAGTACATGTCATGAATTTATTTTGACAATACTGACAATGATATGACTTAACAGTACAGTATTCATTTTATAACTACTTGATTCAGTGTCTCCCATTACTGCTGTCCTTTGTGACACTTCATGTATTCTTACTCCCCTACCCTCATCCCTAAGTAGTTTTAAAGTGAATACTATGCCCCTTTCTAAGTTAAGTTTTCTTTAAAAATGTGGCACATAATCATAATGTGATATGTAGGAGGCCTTCCAAAAGTTTATGATTTGGAAAAGTGATGGTATTAGATTCAATTATCTGTTGGTGATCTATGGTCAGTTGGATTAGGTTAATAGTACCCACTGTTTCATCCTAATCCATGTGTCTAAGATGAAGAGAGGACTAAGTCTGACACATAATCTGATACAGAACCAACTCACTATTTCACATAATCTAACTCTAATACAAAATCAACTGTGTGGTCCACATATTCTAATATAGAAATAGAATAAACTAGTTGTTCAACACCCGTCGGGCCGAGACCGAGCACTGTGAGGGCGAAGCTCGGCATCACTGGCTCGGTGGTGTTACATGGGATTTTGCCTCTTCGTGGCGTGACGGACCAGTAGGGAGGTTTCCTCCTGAAGCTAAAAAATCCCGGCCAAACGCATGACTTCCAACGCAACGGAAGTTGCGCGCTAACATGATTACGTGTCGCCAATAATGGATATGAGGCTTGGGTGAAACAAAACCCTCACTGAGGATTAAAGACAAGCGGCCTTGAGAAAGCTGCTCCTAGGTGACCGTTTCGTCCAGACATACTCCCGTCCGAACTACTCCCTGGACAGTGGGGAGAGGTAACGCGACACCATCCCCGGAGAGGAAGCAAAACTGTTCCAAACAAACATCCAGACCGAATGACTCAATGAGCAAGGGGGGTGGTGACGAAAACCTCCCCCTTAATGAGTGGAAGCAAACTGCCCAAATCCCCTCTACTCGATACCTTGTTGTATGGCCGGAGTCCTTAGGGACTACTGGGCCATGTTTCATGGTCAGGGTCCTATGAGATAGAATCTCGACCCATAAGAGTAATGAGCTTTATCAGTTGTTCAACATACCTTGATACAGAAGATACAGAACCAACTAGGGGTGATTCATAATCTAAAGCATAGCTTTTGTTAAGGGGGATGCAATCTGATGAAGATAACTCACAGACACTTTTCAGACAATCTGTCGTAACATCAGATCATAGATCTGCAATTAATTTATTCTCCAACTCATTGAAATTTGAGCAAGGCGTGATATTACTGATATGCACAGATGTACTGGTACCGGTAGCTAAAAATGTCTTTTGTGGAAACATGTTTTCTTGAGAAGTATAATCTAGTTAAATGTAGGATCTAAAATTGGCTGGTCAGTGATATTTCCCGAAGCATCTACAAGACTCTTACTCTCAGTCTTAGGGATGGTATGTTAAGATGTGGAATGTAAGGAAAGTATTGCAATATCATTTAAGTCATCAGGAAAAATCTGTAATGACTTCTGGGACGACTTGGACTTTAACTGGTTTAAACTAGTCCCAGAATCTAAGTAGGGTATACTAGAAGAGCTGTTTGGTGATGTATGAGCATCTGCCATGTTAATCACAACTTTTTGTAGGATTGCGTCCATCTGGCCTATTGTCATGTATTCCTCAACGCTGACCAAATTTGAAGATTTTCTTTCATTAGGTCCTATAGAGACAGCCACTATTTCCTCTTGTGAAACATTTAAGGGTTTAGGCGCCATTTTTCTGTTAATAGTAATAGTATTCGCTGAGCCTTTATGACTATTCAATTCTTGCATGCTGCACCTATTTTGTTCTCCAGTATTGGAGTTGTCAGTGGAATGTGAGACTACAGAGATTGTGTGAAGTTTAGACAAACCCTGATTATAGACATCACCAAATTTGAAATAGTCACTTCCATCTTGAAGTGATGTCTCCTGTTCATCCAGCATCCCTGTGCCCGTGGATCCCTCTGTGGTAGATGGGATCGTCTGAGGGGACTCGTAATTTTTAGAATTAATTTTGGGATTTTTGGCTCCCTGGGATTTCTTTGGCTTTGTAGTGAAAAGACTTTTGCTGTCAGAACCCCTCCCTGACGAGTCAGAAGAGCTGGAATCTGAAACTGTATTTAGGACAGATGATGGGCTTTCAGCAATGCTCCTGTTTGTTTGGTTCATCGGAACTGGTGGATTCTGAGAGAAACAAAACAATTCATTTTGATTTTATTCGTGTTAACATGAATTAAAATTGTTAAAAAATTATTTTAAAGTATTTAAAGTTTTTTATTAATTCTTATGTAAAAATTAGCTAATTTTTTTAAAATAATAACTTATGAAATTTATTTAGTATAAAATGAACAGTTAAAAACAAATGTAAAATATTTTTAAAAACATGTATAATAACAAATATTTATTAACTAACTCCCAGGGTGATTGAGTGGTTGGCTCCAAACTACTGTTCTTATAAATAACCTATTAAGATGCCTCTTAACATCTCCACAGAAATAAAACAGGGCAAAAAAGAAAATAAATTATTTTAGTACCACATTTTTTTAACAATACAGTAGCTAATAGTCTGGCCATAGAGTAAAAAAACTAATTTTTCATTTAGTTGAGCTAGAGAAATTATATAAAACTTAAGTTAAACTTAAACAAGGCTATCTTTTTAACAAGACAATTAGATTTCTAAAAATAAATTTAAATGTAACTTTGTCCTTACCTCTAGTATTAATTCATCTGCGGATGCTGAATTCATGTCTTCCATTCTTGGGGATGCATAATTTGTTTCCTAGCATTTAAATTATCTTTATTAAAACAAAACAGTTAACCAATAAAATTATCAAATACTGTACTTACTCAATTTACTAGTTTATAGTAATAGTATAAATATAAACCCTTCAACTTCAAGCAAATTTTTTAATATTGTAATTTGGTGCAATTTAGGTTTTTTCTAATTCTCTATTTGTAAAATGCATTCACATTAATTTTTAAAAAAAGCGTATCTGCAAGCTCTCTTTTTTTTTTGTAAGTAATCACAGTAATCTTTTCAATTAAAATAATATATTCTATTTTCAATTAAATCTTATTATTTTAATGGTTCACTTAAACAATCAAATTTTGTTTAAATAACTTCATTTGAAATATCGGGTAATGTAGATATAATTTTTAATATTTTGCTGTTAAAACTGTTTACCACAATTTGAAGTCCTTTAGTACGTTCTCTTGAAATCTGGCAATTTCTATAAAAACAAGTCAGTAATTTGAGTTAATACTTAGCTTATAACTTGTAATTTTCTATAGTCTATAGACTATAGGGTCCATCCATATTTTATGCATGAAAAAAATAGTCATTATTAATATTATCTTCTCACCTCACTGTTATTATATACTGTAGAGTATATTGTCAGATATTATATTTATGAAAATCTACCCTTATTTACTCCAAAACAAAGGAGCTATTGTTAAATTAATAGTACCGGTATTTAAGTTTAAGGATGCATAGTCTATAGAGGTGGGCAGTCTAAAGCCCATGGACAACATGGGGCGCGGCCCACTGAAAGTTAAAGCAGGCCTGCAAAATATTCCTGGTAAAACATTAAAATGTATAAATTTTGAATGATTAGCGCAAAAGTCTTTGAAAATTTATGATCTTATCCCTAGTATCATCTCAGTAACATTATTTTTTTTATTAACGGTATTATTAATCTTTAAAATTCCCGTATATCTTGCGCACTATTTGTCAGGCGCGCCGGACGTGTAGACACTTCGTTTATTTTAAGTGTAGACACTTCGTATTTTAACACATACTGTTTTACAAGTAGAAGTAAACGCAATATTGTTCCTTGCTTAAAAATTTAATTTTTAAAAAAAAAAAACGATTTTGAGGGAATTTCCTATGTTAAAAAATAGCATTATCAAATGAAAGATAAATATTTTCACTCTTAAATTTAAACGAATAACACTATCGCTAACACCCATAAGTTATATAAACACTTCCGATTAGACCTGCAGATGATATGTAAACAACCTGTTAATGAGCAAATCAGTTGGCCTTTTGAAAATGTGATCTTTTTTTATACTTATTACAAGTATGACAGCAATTTATAAATAATTCATAATAAATTACAAATGTTATATTATAATTTGTGTACACGCTGCATTTTTTAAGTCTTATATGCACTGAATGTAAGATGACCAGGCCTATCTGAAAACCCCATTCACAACCCTAACAACAATGCACAAAGTTCTTTTCAAAAGAAGTTACAGTTAAGGTGCTGATGTGAGGTGCTATAATAATTACAGTTACAGGCTTTCCTGAACCCTGTAAATTACCGTTGGAACCTATGGTACAGATTAATTAAACACAAATTATCACCATCATCCATTTGGAGCAATAAAGTTATTTCATAGCAAATATTTTTTTTACAACATTCAATTTGTAGAGTTTTTTTTACTGAGTCCATAATTTATTATTCTATTCAAATTCAATTACGGTTTCAATCAAGTGCTTGAGCTAAGTACCCTGCCTGATGACTTCACTTTAAGGTTGGAAAGTCCAGAACCAGATTTTTTTAACCCTTAAAATGAAGTCTGATAACAGGAAGCAGGTAAATATTGCTAAATCCAAAGAGTCCATTATCACACATTGTTCCAGGGAAATATGTCTCATATGCAGAGGCTGAGTCAACTGAGTAAATTACTCAGGTTCCTGTCTACATCTGGGTTCCACTGTGCGGAATTTGTTTCCCATCCATTGATAAGCAACTGAGTAACAGTTCAGTTTTTCCTCATCCGTATCTCATTATTTCCCCTCTGCCAAGGCGACAAGTGAATTCAGTGTTTACAGCAACACCAATAAGCACTGTTCATTCATTTACAGCACCAGCATAACCTCATCTTAGATATTCTAGGATATGATATTGATAACACTTGAATATTATAATATATAAAGGGTTGGTTTATGAGCGGCTTATATACGCTTTCCAGGCTTTTCCCATCCAAAGCAAGGATTCTAGCTTATACTTATAATGAAACAGGCTTCAAAAAGAGTATCTTCAGTTTAACATTTTAACACTCAAACTGTGGCATGCATCATTCTGTGGTGTGGAGCTTTTCAGAGCTTTTTGAGTCCCTTTTGAAATTGCATTAAATGACATAGAAATATTGTTGCAAGACCCCAATAATTATATATTTTTAGAAAGGCAAATGGATGGGGATAAAGTTTGCCTTATTGCCCACCCTGTAAAAAAAAATTTTCTCAATGTCCTTGACCTTGGAGTTCTCAAGAAAATAAAAATCAACAAATGTCTTGCTTTCAAGTGCTCATAACATCAATAATTTTTAAAGATACACTTAAAACACAAATCTACATGTTGTAGCCAATTCATTTATCTATCAGAAAATGTATTGTTTGCTAAGGTTGTGATTGAAATTAAACCTCTGAAAGCAATTCTAGCAATTTTAGGTCCTTTATAAAAGAAACTGGGACCACTGTTAAAACCAAGTACAAAATACAAAACCTCTGACAAAATAGTTATTATTGACTAGTAAACATTTAAAAAGGAACTGTGGAACTGATTTGGTTTGTTAAACTATAAAAATTGATTAGTTCTGAACTATAATCTGTAGCTTCTGTGACTAAAATTCAGTCAGTCCTTGCCCAACCTCCGGGCCTGGCTCGAAGTCTAACAGTAGCCTCAGTAGGCCTACTTCAGTATCACTAAGACTATTATCAGATTCACGAAAAGAAAAATCTGAAGTGAGATGTCATAGGGAATGTTAAAATCATCATCAGTATCACTTAAATCCTCTCCTAAAAAGCTTTAAAAAAATATTTATATTAGTTCTCGCACTGAAGGCCCTGGCATAGCTTCCGTCATTTTTGCTTTTTAAAAAAACAGCGATATAAAATTCCAATTTAAAAGTACTTATTGATAAGTTATCAAGAAACAGCTTGACCAGGAAGTTGATTTAATTAATAATAAAAGGAAATGGCTATGATTTTGGTTAAATATTGGATTGGAAGTTGCTATCGGACCGTGTTTTTTATCGGCCGATTTTTTCGGCCGCCACAGCACAGAACGAGAATATCGGGCGATTTCATCGGCCAACCACAGTTCGAGGGTAAAATAAGAATTCTATGGGCTGTTTTGGGTTAACTGTTTATTACAATAGATTTTAAATTCTGTCATTGTTTTTATAAGAATATACTAATACTACTAGCCTTTAATATGAATCTTTAAATTTAAATAATTTTGATAATAAGACTTACTTGTATAAAACCTTAGCACCAAAGCATGAAAGAACAAGAACTAGAACTATTGCAGAAATTGACATTACAATTACAAGCATTTTGCTTTCTGGGGAAAAAAAGATAAAAAGAACAGGCTAATCTTCTGCACTTAATTAATTAGTTATGCTGCCCTAATGTACACACTACTGCTTTAAATTTTGCATCTCAAATCTAAAATGTTCTGCATTAATTATTCTCAGACTTTCTTGCATTTAATATAGCAGTATAAGTCTGATGGAAATTGCCTTGAAAAACATGGATTTTTTCTACAGTTTGATGTCAAATTGTTGCAAGACAATATATTAATATTTATTCTGATGTTCATCTCAACAGGATAAACAAATGATCAACCTAAAAAAATAACTAAATTATCTTTGTACCGTGCGATTTGTAGTTTTTAAATTGACTAACCAGCAGGTTTTGGCGTCACTTCCTTCCAAAGGAGTTCTTTACCCAACTGATCATGAACTTTACCCAGGACTGCCACTTTGTAGATGGTATTGGCATCAAGTCTGGACACCTTGACAGATGATAATGTAGCTGCTAAATCTAAACTCTGGATACTGCTTGAATCTGTATTAATGAAAATGAAAGGTCAAAATTGTTTAATTCTTTTGCTTTAATGACAGGGTTATTTCAGAGATTCTATGCAGGGTAAATTTTGTCATCTTTAGTGGAAAAACACAGGATTAATTACCTTTTTATGATACAGATTTATTTGATATCAAAATACTTTTAATGGCTTTTAATTATGGGAAAGATCCAACAGTTTTTTAAATTTTGAAAATAACATGATGTAAAAGCTAATGAAATCTTCAGATTTTTATCAACTATTTTCTTTAGGATAATCAGCCAAATGATAAAACAAATAAGTGAAACTCCTCTTCTTCTATATAGCCAGAAGTGCCTGTCATGGCCTCGTCACTGGCTATGGAGGAGAGGGACAAGCTTCTGTGTGCCGGAGCAGTCAACCAGCCCATTATTTATCTTGTACATCATGGAGAGCCTGGATAATTATCTTCTTTCCTCCAATCATGACCAGCCCAGTGTTTCCAGCATGCTGCCAACATTACAGGTGTTCCTGTAGCGATTCAGAACAAAGCGTGCTTCCCATTGGACCAACTCCAATCTGTCAATGCTCTTCTGGGTGAATGGGTCCCAGACGGAAGATGTGTAATCTAAAAGTGGCTGGACAAAGGCTTTATAGTAATTTATAGGCTCTTTCTTTCACACTGGAGTTGCCGACCCTCAGATTTTGCATAAAGAACCCCTCAATGAAGCTCATAATAATTTACAGATTATCTGACTGCAAAACCTTACCATTACACTTCTGTTGCTGACACCACAAGACTCGATACCCAGTCAGTAGTATCTGACTCTTCTTTGTGCACTGAATTTTCAGCCACACAACGGTTGCAGATTCTGTGTCTGGTTGTATGTTCAGTATCTCAGGAGATGGCAAAGATGCTGTAATATATTTAGCAAATATTTTCAAATAGTTATCATTGAGGGGACGGTTGCATGAGTTGTGTTTTTATTATTAAAATATTAACAAAAGATTTATAGAGTAGTATCTCGTTTGGCTTGAATTTTTCAAACATGTCAGATGTTATATTTAGCTGAAAAATAGTAAAATATCTACTATTGCCTGTATTTTTTTAATCAAATTCATTTAGACTTAAACAAATTTTGGAAATTTCTTTGTAATTGTTCTAAAATGTTTTTTTAAAAATATACCTGGTTGGTAGTGTAAAATGTTATTTTTCTTGATTTAAAAAATAATGATAGCCAATCTCGTTTAGTACCTGGGCATGTGAGTTCCTTATTTACTACCATACTAATAATGTTCTTCATCTTTAAAACAATGCATTTTTTACTATTATTTGAAGGAAAATTGTTATAATATTGGCACAAAACTAAATGTTTGCTTTAAAAGCTAGGTTTTATTATCAGCTATATTATTTGCATACACCCCTTGATGGAACAACCTGGGATAATGAGATATTAAATTAAATGACTGTTTTACAAGAGAATTTTTTATTGGAAAACATACCGGTACAAAAATTCTGTAGTTACTGACAACAGGCTGCTATGGGTTTTGTATAATTTTTCAAATTGGGTCTACTTGCTTTTGAATTCAACTATAAGTGGCTAAATTTTGTTGTTTACTGTTTGTATTATATAGTATAGGCCTGTATGTGTGTACATTCATCTTCAAGTTCAAGCTGAAAGGATCCTATGTAAATGTGGCAATGTACCACTTCTGGCAACTTTTATTTCATTTTTATATGTGGCTGGGTGCTACCTATGTTTGCAGGGTGCCACCGATGGGGCAAAGAAAATACGCTCATGTGACATGATTTTTTATACATGTTCACAGTCACTGAGCTGGGCATACCTGTCCCACTGGGGACTTGTCCCACATAGGACTGATAAACAGTTCATGACGTTGACATCAATTTTGGACTACATAAGGCAGTGGGGATTTAAACCCGTGGGCTTTTCTGTTTCTGATCTGTGTACGAGTAGTCAGCTGAGTCTGATAATGAGTGGATAAGTATGAGAGATTTTACTGTCAACGGATTGTACCTAAGAATAAAGCTATAGTTCTCAGATCTGTTTCTGTGATTGTGATTTTTAAAATGTAACCACGCCACAACATGGCTACATAAATAAAGGCCCTGCCCGGTGTCTCTGTTGGTCTATTGAAACCTCATACTCTATTTAGTGTACCAGTAGTTAAACTAATCCTTCACCAAACCCACCCCCCTTCCCACATTATAAAATCTATACATATAATAGTTATTTTTACACATTATTTAAACTTGTGACTGCAGGGCTGCCCACAATTCAATGTGTTACTTCATACAGTTTGTCAGGTATTTTAAAAATATAGCAAACATGTATGATGACAAGGGCAGAACTTTTTAACATGGTAAATCACACCACAAACAAACAGTTTTTAGTTTTTTTTATGATCTCATTCAAAGTTACTCCACAAGGGTCTAGTTAAAAGCAGCATTGTATTAACCTAGAGGATATATTTTTTGGGTGGTGGATCTTGATCTTGACCTACTTATTGTATTGATATAATGTCCAACACTGATACTGATATTCATTTCTATACACAAAAAGTTATAGAATTAAGGGAAGAAAAGAAAAAGTAAGAACAACAGAAGTTATAGGAAAGTAATCATCAAATAGAGGATTTCTGAATAACTTTTGTCTTTTGATGATAAAGGGAATGACTAAAATAAAACTATAAATAAATTCAATTTGATCTAATAAGCGACTAAAACATATTAAGATAAAAGATCATTAAATTTTTCATGGCACAGCTGTGAATAAATTGGGATTTGAGGGGAGGGGATATCTATGCAAAATTTGCAAAGAAACATTTTATGAATACTGGTACTTCTCAATAAAAAGTTCTCACAATCATCATGAGATAGATATTTTAAAAATATACTTGACATACAGATTTGAAACAATCATACATGACATTAAAAATCAGCTTTAAAGTTAAAGCTGCAAGTTTTATCTCTTAAAAAACACCAGTGTTATATAGTTTATCTTCTGTGATTTGCACCATCCAAAACAAATTATGTTCATGTCTATTAAATATTTACCTCAAAAACAGTGCTGCATTGTTTGTATTTAACTCCATTAAAATTTAAAAAAAAAAACAAAATTACTGATTAATTTTTTTCATAGATTTGATTTATTTCTTGAAACTTGCCCATAAAATTCTTCTTACATGGTTGAGGATTAAACCAACAATCTGTCCATTGTATTCCTGATGCATTCTCCCCATCTCTCACGGCCAGGCCAAAACGGTAATCAGTTGCTTTTGATGGCAACTCTGGGATGTCCAAGTAGGGCTGAGATTCTGGAACATGCCTCCAGTAAATTGGTCCCTGTAAGAGTTGAGACAAGTTAAAATTACTCTCAGAAATGCAGCAATTGTCTTAAAAAATACAACTTCACAACATATACAGTTTGAAGTTTTTCAGACCAAAATTTAGTGAGAATAACTCACTTTGTTTAATAAGACTAAGAAGCTTTGCATTATCAGTACTTATGAAAATAACGTGTTCCCTTGATTTTACGCTGCAGTTTTGATAAAGAAAAACAAATAATGGGAAATCTAAAATTTTTTCCAAATTTCAGCTTGCACAGTAATGTCACTTCACTTAGAATAAGAATGCACACTTAAGATTTTTTAAAAAATTATTAATGTACATACAGAAATTTTTTATGTTTATACTATACCCTGTACTAGAAACAATATGTTTAAAAAAAAAATAACAATGAAATTAGCACACAAATCACTAAAAAAAACGTTTAGTTATTTTACTTTGCCCTGATTCCCAGCCCATGGGTCACATTTATTTATAGTGTGTCTTCTCTTTTAATATTAATTTTCTTTTTAAAGACATCAGGGTCTCTACATGCTTCTATAAAATAAGGCTGTGAGTAACTTTCCTTCTATACAAATGGGTCGAAGGTCACTTTGCTTCTATAAAGTGGGGTCACAACTTAAACTTAAAGAAATTTTGAGTGCCTGAGGGAGAGTTTACCTTACAAGGAGATTCTGTATCTTCAATACACCAAAACACAGTATAGCTGATATTCATGTTGTGATCACTACCATTCCAAAATGCCTTGGCATTAGTTCCATTCCATTCAATAGCAAAGGATTCTTTAACTTTTGAAGGCACTAAATCAAAATGTTTATAGCATTTGAGTTTAAGCTAAGATTTTTAAATGCTTAGTTTGGCAAATGTACATTAGCTCTAGTTTGATTTTTTTTTTTTTTAATAGCACCAGCAGTCAAAAGAAAATTTTTTTATTTTTTAAATTACTGGTGATAAGAAAAATTTAGAAACATATTTGTATGTTAAGCAGAAAGTTATTCTTAACTTTAGAAGTACCGGTATCGGTGAATATTTATAATTCATTAATAAAACAAAAGGTTTTTTTGTTTTTTTAAATAATATTATGGAAACTGAATTTTTCTTTTTAAAAAACTTGTAACTAATTAAAATAGTCTCTTGAAATGTAAGGCTTAGCAATTTACCTTGGAAACTGAAAGGTGCTAGTCTAACAACTGAAGGGATGGGTGATTCACCAGCTGAATTCACAGCTGCTATTTCCAAATCAACTGGTTTTTTGTTATAACAAGACACTTCAACAGTTGCGCTGTGACTGTCATTGGACACATTCTTCAAAACCTTGCCCTCAAATTTCACAGAATAAATTGTGATTACACCATTCCTGGCCGACTCATTAACGTACTGAAAAAATGCATTTAAATTTAAACTTTAGCATAAAATCAAAACAGTGTGATTAAAAATTGGGAGTGTATATAATTACCTAATTACAATAAAAAATTAATCTTTCAATTTGGTAAAATAAAAAAATTTTAGTTTATTGTAAACTTTTTCACTCACAAAACATAAATACATAAGCATTCATTTCTTTCTTAAGCAGCAAAATATATTCAATAATAACAAAAAATTTTTTTAAAAGTAAAAGTATTATAAGGCATAATAAAGTCCTATAAATGGGTGATGCTCTCAAACCCTATCACCTTTTTATTGCAGATTATTTCTATAAATACTGGTATACTTAAGCAGGTCTCCACTAAAAGTAATTGCAACTAATTTATAATAGAATAAAATCTGAAACATTCTCCTTGCTCTTCTTTTTACAGCGAGATAAGGTAAGATTCTTTTATTGATCAAAATAAATGCAAACATTTTTTTAAAATTACATTTCACCTACATAAAAAAGTATGTATTTAACCATGACAACATTATTAATATTTGAAGACAAGACACCTAAAGTATTTCTCTAGTTATTTCTCAAGATCAACTCACAAACAAAACAATACAGACACTTCAGGCATTGCAAAGAGTGTCTCTTAGCAAAGAAGCATCTTAACCCTTTGATGCATACAGGACAAATATGGCCTTCACATTAAAATGCATGTATGTAGGTTATTTACACATACAATAATGCGAAATATGGCACAATGGATCCAAAATGTGTCAGACCATTTATGGTGTCCACATACTTCAAGCCGCTATATCATGACAAATAAACAGTGCTTGTTTCACAGGTATGCCATGCTAGAAATTTCACGCGAGTTGCTTTTTTTCAAACATAAAATTTACATCTGAACGTAGTTTTGGGATCAGATTTATGAATTCATTTGTATAGATACTAAAAGTTGATGTAAAGTTGTAAAATAAGCATAAATATGTATAACATTACATGATATTCTTGCACGACACTTGATGATGATGAAATTATCCTTTATTTGAATGCTTATATTATTGGGGATGAGACTATCTTGAAGACTACACATGATCAAGAATTTTTGGAAGGTGATGCTGACGAGACTCGAACAGGTGGGGTTTTAGAACAACCAATGAAGGACACAAATTTGGAAAGTTAAAGTGCTTCCACAGTTACTTCTCCAAAACTTGCTGTTCCCAGTAACCTTCCAAAGCCGATAAGGTTAGCTGTTGAAACTATGCCATGCATACACACATAGCTGTTCTCCATCTTCTTCTACGAGTGCTGCGCCTGAAAATTGTCAACTCATAACTTTCACATGTCCTATAAAACTTTAATGTTCAGAGACGACAAGAATACACAATCTTTTGGACAAGTTAACATGAACAATATCGCAGATTCAGAAACTGTGGATGCAAAGCCAATGCCCCTGAAATATTTGAAGCAGTTGCGCAATTTCACAAAACTTAAATTCAATCTTTCAGGACATATACTTGGCATCAACGAGGAACCATCCACATAAGAACATATGATCAAATTCAAAGACCACAATATTATGCGCCAATTCATAAAAGGCAAACCAATAAAGATTGGACTTTAAAATGTGGTGCAGGTGTGATGCTTGCACTGGATATGTAAATATCTTGGTAAGAAAGCACAGCAAAGCTTTGAGAGTCTGTAAACTTGCACCTTATTGAATCATTGCCTGGAAAAAGATGCCAGGTATTTTTGGATAATTTCTTCAACTCTCCGAATTGTCAATTACATCCTTGCAGACAAAGCCCATACGAGCTTTTGATACAGTTCATACAAATTGGAGAAACATGCCAACCTGCCTTCCGATTGATAAGAACATGAAAAAAGGGGATATTTCTGCTGTTTCCAGTCATGGGATTATTGCCTGTGTAAAATGGATGGACAGCGGGAATGTTGGGAGGTTGAGCAACTTCATTTTGCCAATTTCTACAACCCTCATAAGGAGACGAGTAGCATAGCTAACAAAGTAGATGTTTTCTGCCCTTTGATATTAAGAAATATAACCAATGTATGGGTGGTGTTAAGCTTATAGACCAGACATAGGTGCCATATGAAGTTGACAGGAAAGCCAGAATAAAATATTACCTTTGCATTCTTTGATTTGGTTGACATTACAAATTTGTGTGAACAATGCATACAATTTAACTGAAGATCAATCAAATGTACCATTTTCATGACATTCCGATAAGGCTGATTGAATTTCCTTCAGAATTGATATGTTTACCCATATCTGATTTCTCCTGCAGACAGAGAAGTATTCCGACAAATGTCCATACACAAAGTCATGCACAAATAGCAACAAAACCTCACAAGCCAGAATGTGCCATAAAAAAGCCAGAAAACGTAAAAGATGTTATTGCTGTGCACCAAAGAAAATTGAAAACAGAACTGACAATGTATATGTGCAACTGACAATGTATGTACAGTGACTGAGGTTCATTTATGTTATACATCTGACAGAAACTGTTCTGTCAATTTCCATAACAAGTAATTACGGGAAGTAGGACCTTAGCCCAAATGTGATATAGAGACAATACATACCATATTTTTATGACATTATGTACCGGTATGCGCAAGTTAAAAAATTGAATAAATTGACTCTATACTACTATTATTTTGTTTGTAAATATTTTTCCACAAATTGATATCACCTGATGTGGACTTCTCTTACGAGCATCGAAGAGTTAAGTCAAGTCAAATAAACACTTTTCAAATTTAAGTCTGTGTGTGAGAACACTGATGGGTGGGACCTTGAATATCATTAATAAAATGAAAATAATCACCGTCCAAAAAACCATTACTTTGCGCCTATCACCCTCACATGATACACTGAGATCGCTGTAGCTGCCATTGGTTGTTTCGGGCCCCGAGGATGGTGCTGTACAAGAGAGAGAGATTGAAAAGAATGCTAGGGTGGGAAAAGCTTTGTAATTGAGAAACCAATAGGGTTTGAAATATAACCAAATTCATCCAGGAACTAAGTTTATTTCTACAGTCCATGAAAAGATTTTTATTTTTTTTGGTCCCCTTACTTATTATTTTTAGCAGCAACAGGCAAGTTAAATCTGTGACTCGAGAATTGCCAAGCCGTGATCAAAAGAAGCCTATGGTAAAAGGTTATTTTTCTTCCTTCTAATTGCAATTGTACACGCTTTGATTCATTTTTTAAAAAAGAATTAAGTTTTCCCCCATGGGCGCCCGCAGGTAGGGGCAAGGATTGATTGGATAAAAAAATTTAGACAAAAATAGACAAAAAATGTATTAAAGTAAAGAGAAAATAAAGAGAAAGTAACTAAGCTGATGTCCTTTCCGTTCGTTCACCATACTGTTAAATAGAGTTTGTTTACATAATTTTTCTCGTGCGTGCCCTCTGATTGACCTCGCATGAGACGCTGTGTTCACAGAGGTGTGGCTTAGTCGTTTGATCTGTCGTGTTTATGCCGACAGCCACTAAAAATAATTAATCTGTTCCAAATAGTATTTTGTAGAATGAATGTGATTGTTCTAGAAATGCTATGTAGCTTTTCGAAAGCAGGGCTTGGGCGTCGGTAGACCCACCTATATAAAGGAGTGACAAGCTCGGAAAGAGACGGAGATTCAGATAGATTTTATTAACTTTATGAGGTGTGTTTTATTCTTTGTGTGCTCATACTTACATGTGTTCATTTCGCATTCATCATAATTCATTGGCACATTATTTCTAACTGTATTAACTGTGTACCGGTATAAGATCTACCATACTGTAAGTTGAAAATTGTCATTATATTTTCTTTTCTTTTGTAATTATCTTAAGACTTAATAAATCTTAATTAATTGTAACTAGAGAATGTTTTGGGTGTCATATCTTTAAAGTTGTTAACTCAATGGTATCGTCCTTTGTTAGGCACTGTTTACAACGAGCCAATTAAAATTAAAATAGGAGATTAATTTCTCCCAATACAAGTCAGTGCGTAACAATACAAATACGCTACAGTAAATTAAAACTATATTAAAACATTACTAAAAAATTGTTGCCCCCCCCCCCCTGTGCACAAATGTTTTCCCCTACAATTAATTAATGAACGAGATCAAAACCAGAACGAAACTTCTGGCACCATAAAAAGATTGATGAAATTGGGCAATGATTGGGGAGAATAACAAAAATAATCAAAATACTGTACTATAAGTACTATATCATTATAAAAATATAAATACACTAAAGCATTTTGTAACTTAGAGTTAGCGGAAAACAGCAACACTTAAATTTAGTTGTAAGTTTAAATATATGTCGCAACACTTGAATTTAGTTGTAAGTATAAAAGTATGTCAAAACACTTGAATTTAGTATATTTATAAATGTATGTAACAACACTTTAATTTAGTTGTAAGTATATTTGTATGTAAAAACACTTTTAATTAGTTGTAAGTATATATATATATTATGAAACAACACTTTAATTTTAGTTAGTAACAACACTTTGATTTAGTGGTAAGTATATATATATATGAAACAACACTTGAATTTAGTTGTAAGCATTAATGTATGTATTCTGAAATCCTTACGTTGCTCGGGTGTGTGGTAGCTATAAAAGGTTTTATCACTCCAGTAACCAGAGTATCCATTCCCTGGGTAGCACTGGACATAGAATGTGTGCATGGTATTTGGCCTCAGTTCATAAGTAAGATTTGTCGCTGTAATGTTATTCATTATCATCTGGTGAAATTAGAAAAAAAAAGAAGAAAAAAACAGAAAAAAGGTAGAGGATAGATTTTCTAAATAAACTGGGAACAAGGCTTGGTCCAAATAAACTTTTAGTTACATACACGTATGTTGCATACATTAACCAGTGAGTACCGGTACTGCAATTTTTTTTCTGTCAAAGGCGGTTTCCAAAAAAAAGATGACTGGTGCTAAGAACAAAAACCGAACTCATTTTGTCTTCGCAGGTCGCTTGATACCAATGTGTATCTAGACTCGCCCTGGATTTGTGTGACAGTGTTAAATGACATGCGCATTTCGTAAGATAATAATTTTGTTTAAACGAGGGCAGCTAGGATAAACTGCATTTTGGATAATCAGTGTTTGGAAAATCGACACTAGTGTAATCACAAAAATTATTTAATTATTAGAGAGCCTGTACATATTTCCTATATTTTGGAATTTTTCGGGATATATATTATATATACAGTGATCCCGAGTTCACAATACGTGGTCTCATTGTATTTCAGATTTTTAAATCCTTTATAAATAACTTTTCTTTTGTTTGTGTGCATCTGGCTGTCAAAATATTTGGACCGCTAATTGACCCCCTTCAAGTCAAACTATCGAGCTGAAACTATAGACGCAATGCTGATGACAACACACTTTTTCAAATTTTCAGCCCCAACCCCCAAAAATCAGTTTTACCTGTTTTTCAGAGGGAAGATGAAGGAAATACGACAATGATTTTATGAAATAAAATTCCTGATTACTGTGCTAAATGAGATCCTTGAAAATAGAGTGTTTGGTGCATAATATTTTCTTTTGAAATACTTAGTTGGCATAATAAATCTGCAGTGTAAAAGTGGAATACTTATATAGTTCAGATAACCTTAAAAAAATTGTTTAAAAAATTGCCGTTGCGTGTCTTTGATATGTGTATGTGTGTGCATGCGTGTTCGTGCGTGTGTGGATGTGTGGGTGGGCTAATTGGGATTCTTATAAAGTGAGTTACTTGTATTCATGTTTTGCTAAATTTTCAGCCCCACCCTCTTGCTGGATATTATATTTTAACATTACAAAGACCGGGAATGCATTACTTAGATATACATTTTGTTTCACATCTATCATATCAATTTAATTTTGAAGTATTTTATTGTTATTAAGAATGAACCAGCAACCTTTATTATGAAGTATTACTATTATTATATTTTGGATAGATAAATTCCACAAGTCCATAGATATACATGCATAAAAGCTTTTTTATAACTCTATCATTAACAACCTTGACTAACCTTGAAATCTTCTTCTTCTGGAAGTTTGTGGAAAACTTGAAAGATTAATTGATGATACTGACTCCTCGCTTGATTCCATGATAACAGAAACTTATTTTTAGTTATGGTGTTTGTTATTAACAAGTCAGTAACAGGTGCCGGTTTGACTGAAAAATAAACAACATAATCAACATGGGTAACTCTGAGATACAGTAAGATGTAAAAAAAAACAAAAAACAAAATTAGAGAATTCCAATTTAGAAAAATAAATTATGCTGAGCGGGAACAACTGTGATGTAAAGTTGATGCACTTGCATATCTAAACAAAATAAATCATGTGAGAAACCATGAAGTTAATATTTACAACACATGCATATATAATGAGTGTCAATCTAGGGTTAGGTGTGTGAGATTTTTAAAAAAAAACAGATCAATAAAGCGGAATCTGCGGTGCAAAGGGTTAGTTCAGTTACAAGAACAGATTTGTACAATTTCTTGGTGGATATTCTGATCATGTTTCTGTATCCCTCTATCACAAATCTTTTAAATTTTGTAGGTTTTGACTTGTGAACTTTTTTTTTAAAGGTGGGGGCGTGGGGATTGTTATAGCATGTGTGTTGACGTGATTTAAATTCAACGTAGAGCTAAAGCGTCCACCACTCGCTTATTGCAAGCGATATCGATATTTTTACTTTTATATTTAATTTACTGAACTGAAGATACTAGGTTCACTATGACTAAGGAAATGTTAAAAATCCACATAAACTGATAATCAGGCCACAATAAGCAACAGTGTCAATTACATTATACCAAAAAAATAAAAAATATTGACATTTTAGTTAGTCACAAGTTAAAATCTTTCTATAGTTTCAAAGTGTGAATGTTTTACCGTTTTGACTTGGTTCCACTTTAAATATTTGACTTTGAATGGCTGCATCTATAGTGTTCATGTTAGTTACATTGATCTCAATAATGAACCACTCCTGATTACTTCCAGTCTGAGTCAAGTTATTCCAGAAGCATCCATTGAAGTTTAGTTGTGGACACACAAAAAATGAGAATCTGTAGTTTTTGGTTTGAAAAAAAATTTTTTTTGTAATGATACAGGTTACAAAAATTACAAATAAAAATAACAATTTACAAGACAAAAGGATGTGGATAATTATTAAGGTGGATGTGCAGTAAATTTGGAGAGATAGCACCGGGATAGCCATCTTGGTTGCCACCACCCGCGAACTTATGTCCTAAATCTATCCCTAAACCTAACATGAACCCTAAATCTATCCCTAAATCTAAACCTAACCTGAACTCTAAACTTATCCCTAACCAGGGTTTTGACCCTATTGGAACCAGGGTTTTGACCCTATGGGAACCAGGGACAAGACACGCAAATGACGTCAGGGTGCTAATCTCTCCAAATTAGCCCTGAATTATAAGTTGAATAATGAATGTTAGTTTTTTTTTCAAAAGAAGAGAAATTATCAAACGAATATTCCAATCAATCATTACCAGATACCTTTGTGGATCTGTAGTGTAGACCAAGGAGACCTTTGTGTCGTTGAGAGTTACATCATATGGCACAGGATGTTGCCAGGTACAATTCATGTTCTCATTAAAATTAAAAACCACACAGGTAAAATTGGTAATATTTTGAGGACGATCTGTTAAAAGCAAGACAAAACACTAATAATTTACATAGAAAAATATGTTGAACTTTTAATTTTAGTTTCCTTCATAACCCTTTCATCCCACATGTCATGACAAATATTAATCATATAACATAACAGAATTCTGTTGGTTTCTTCCTTTTGAGGCCCAATTTAACAAACTTTCCTATGTGCAACATTTTTTCAACCTTTAGTTTTCTTTTGACATGCTAAAACTAATTACTTAAATTATGTGCCCCAACCTGCTGGTATTTATAAAGAATCGGCTGTTTTAGTGAGATCCAAAAAAAAAAATTATTATAATTACTACATTTGATTAGATGGATTTTGAATGTAAAATGCCAAACAAAAAATTATTTGTTTTAAATTTTTTTCATTTGAATTTAAAATATTGAAGCACACATTGTGCTGTAAAATATTGATTGAAAACTGCTCCCCTTGAAAGTTGAAATTTATCTGGCAATTTCGACATTTCTATTATTTTATCTATCAAAGTTTGGGGATCCTTGATTTATTTATTCCGAAATATATGTAATTGACCTTTAATATTATTTTATATTTCTATGTAGAATTTTATAATATAATTTATAATTATACAGAGCAGCAAATTTAATATATCAAATCAAGTGTTATCATCACAATATAAATGTCGTTAGCTTACTGTTGAAGTATATAAACAGCACCTTGATGTGAGCTTAGGTCTAGACTTCATTAAGAAGTGTATAGTATTACTTGTAGAAATTTTACCTCTTTAACTTTAATTTTTTAGTCATCTTGAATTTTTTAAAATTTACATATTTCCCTTTCAATGACTATTTTAAAAAATAAGCTCTTGGAATCCATCTATAAGATCTAATTAGCATTAACACATTAAATAAAGATCATTTGTAGTTACATTGTATAGAAATGTCTAATGAAGCAACCCATTCTCCGGATGATGATGGCATGTTGTTTATGCATTCAGATGCCACTAAACATGAGTACTCTGCTCGTCCAGCTCTGCTGACGTTTGGCACTGAAAGCACTGCCGTTGAATCATTGATTACATAAACCTGTTGCTGGTTGATACATTTTCTAGTATCATTACTCTGTTGAAAGAGATTTATACACACACACAATTAGTCCTGAGGATGAAAATCTGTCCATTTCCGTTGGTTAATTTTGTCTATTGTTTCGTTATTAGTATTTTTTTAAAATCCAAATCATGTATGCTTTATACTGGAGTTTAATTTTGATTTCTAACATGCTGGTCACACGGCTGTATGTCCCTTTCCATAGTTTGAAATTAACTCTTTTACAAGATATGTTGGTGGTTCTTAAACTTTTTAGTGTAGCCACCCCCTTGATAAACATTTGTCAACATTTGTGGCGACAAACAACAGGATAATTTCTAGAAACTGAGAAATGGCTATTTAAAGATTAAGGGTATTAGCTACTAACATCTACCATGGGAATCAAAATGTGTTTTTTATGATCATGTTGTATAGTTACAGGGTAGCATCAATAAGAAACTATAAATAATATCCAAATGTTATAATGAAAGATGATACAAATAAGATAAAAATGCAAATTTGTATAAAAAACTAAATTTCTTAAATTATCAAGCAAATTGTTTAGCAAATTCTGTCTATTGCAGACTATTGCTGGCATTCGTCCATCACAATGTGACGATTGTGAGGACTTTGCAGGACGAAATCCACAAGGCCTGGGATTATTCTTCTAGGATCATAAGCTTGTTCCCAACAGCAAATCACTTCTCTCCACGCCACTAGATAACCCAAGGGATTATCATGTGGATGATGCAGCTTGGCACCAGTGGCATCACAGGAGTTGTCGGAATGTTTCATTGTGGCAATGTTATCCGCCTACGGGTCTCCATCTCCGGGTTTGAATTCAGAGTTTCCTTCTCTAGGATGAGTTGCTTTGGTGGGGTCTGAACTCCAGACCATCAACTTGAGATTTGCTCAGTTTAGACTACTCGGCAACCCAGCACCCAGCAGACTATGGCTAATGACTATTTCTTTAATTGCTTTTAATGTGTAAGCAATTTATGTAATATTATTATGACAGATTCATAATTTAAATTAGTATAAATCCCAAATCCTTAAAGATTCCCTTATCACAATTATCCAGATGACACAGTACCTCAAAAGGATAATAGACTGTGAATGTTATGTTGCTGGCTGTAAATTCATTGCTGTCTAGGACACAAGTTAACTGCAACTCATCCCCAACATAAACAAACTCTCTTCCAATAATGTTCCCTGTGAACAAAATAAATTTGATCCCTATGATTATGATGTTATATTTATTTTAAATAAAAATGCACAGGAACATCCTAGTCAGAATATATATAATTTACATGCATTTAAATATACTTTATGGCTGAATTACCACCCAATGTTATAAGCCTAAAACAATTTTTTCCCCAGAATAAACTTCACAATAGAAGAACTTTAGCTTTTAGTGATACAATTTCACTATTTGATAAGAAATGAGCTTAGTAAAGAAAGTACCTTAGCTTTATAAATAAATCTTCTTCTGGAATCTTTCACTTCATGAGAATTTATTGTTTAGCTAATTAGCTGCTTAATCTAGTTTGTGCGTATATGTTAATATAGTGGAATATGGCCATGTGTTAGAAGACTCCTCTTAATTAATTTGTCTAAATTTCTTCACCAATATTCAATACCACATTTTTAAAACTTTCCAGCAATTATAATTGGTTATAATTATAATGCCGTATTCCAGGAGATTGGCAATAACAAGGGCATCAGTTGTAGAACAGGGTAAAATTAATAATAATTGTGTTAAGAAACATCATATAATATCATATTATTTTATAGTGAAAGAATGTGTGCAGCAAGACAATGCTGAGTTACATAATCTACTTCTAATTCAAGTCTATACCTGAGCTCACACTGGGAACAACAATAGATTTAACAATAGATTTCATTATAGTCAGTTGTACAAGCCACTTGTCAGAATAATCACTTTCAGTCTATGTCAAAAGTTCAATCTGATTATGTCTAGTTGTCAAAGTTCATGAAATCTGACCAACTAGAACTAATTATCAATGATGGTTTGAATGATAACTGTTTTCATAAATTTAATATTTTAGATTTCAACTAATCAAAAATTATACTCTCTACAAATATTTTTTCTAAAAACTTCTTAATGACTTAATGTAGAGAAAATGTGTTTAAAGGGGAAGTAACTGCATACTCCGAAAATACAACACTGTTTCAAAGGGTTGTCTCTCTCTTTTTTTTTTTTTTTTTTTTATTTAAATTCCAGACATATCTACGGCAGGAATTATATTATTTTATTTTTTTTACATTATTCAATACATACTTTGAAAATGTATTATTTCAAACAGTATTACCCAACACTGATCAATGTAAAAAAAAAGATAAGTTAAGTAAAGATTTAGTCAAGATGCTGTAAAGATATTAAGTTACTTAGTTTAGACTAATTTAATAAGGCTAAGGATTAAACTTGCGACAAGTTTTGTCGTTAATAAAACAAATCAAAAGCAGAAACAATTATGTCAAGTAATATGTCAAAAGTCAAATTTTAAAAAATGGATTAATATGAAAATGGTATTGTTTAATACTTAAGATAATCCATACATCTATATCTTTTTTGCAGCAAGGCTGAAGAACATTTGGCACAATCGGTAAATACTAAACAAGATTAAAATAGCCAAATGGAACAGATCCATTTGCCAGGTATGGCAGCTATTCTGATTCTTCTTCTTCTTCTTCTATATCTTAAGAGCCCACGATCAATTTATTGATCATTTTGGCTCCTACTCCTATGCATTTAGATGGGATTTGCAATGTTTCTGTTACTGGTGTTGATGAGGAAATCATGCACTAGGGTTTTGAAGGCTTGAGGCAATAGACACAAACGTGTCTAGTGTTGTCGCCTCAACCGTTCCTTTCTTGAGGAGGAGTACGACAACGACAAAGCAACAAAGAAAGAAGACAACAGCGCTGGATTAAAAATCGTATGTCTATGCAACACTGGTACAGTCTTGCCATTTACATTATAATTGTATAGGCCTATTCCTTAAATAAACAGGTCCAAAGACTAATAGTAACCTTCTCAAATAACACAAAAATATACCAGAAGACACAATCTCTTGTTTGCACTTTGTAAATAACCTGCATTAAATGAAAGAATCAATCAATCATAATTTAATTATAAATCCTTGATTAATTACATTCTCATAATATTTAGAATGATACTAGCAGTGACTAACAGGAGCCCAATAGAAACTTCTTTATTTAAAAATAATTTTTAAAAAGGCACCTACCGGTTAGGCCTAATTCTTCCAACAGACTACTCGCAGATAAAATAGTCACAGGACTCAAACCCAAAGCAAAGAGAAGAAATAACGTTGTCTTTTGTATAGAAATCATGACTTTCTGACGATTTCGCTTAGTGCCGATGTTAATCTGTAAAGAAAAGAGTAAGAAAATATATATAACTCCCATTAGTTTTTATTTTGATCATAAGTCGTAGTAAATCCTAAATTAGTAAAAATTGGGTAAATTGTTTCATGCATGTTTATTTTGTCCTATTATCGAGGATTGAATGAGCGAGTAATGACTCCAGTCTTCCCAACCTTTTCTATTTTCTATACCCCACTGCGCATTGTTTAACTAAGTCTCGCATCATCTACAAATTGTCAGACCAAGTCTTGAATCCTCTTCGTCCGCTGGACACATTGTCCCCGAGGCTAAACACACGGTAAATCTGCCAGTAACGTTATTTTGTCCGCCTATTAAAGTAGCGGTTGTCCGTCGTGCCAGCTTATCCTAAACTCCACCGGCGCATCTGTCAACCTGGTGTACTGTGTGCCATGTAGGTCAACGTAACCCAGCTCCACTACCTTCAAAGCATCTGACACAGAATAGTTCGCCCCACCCTACCTAACCCCAAACACGCCCAGTGAGAACAGACGCAGTATACGATATGCATGATCGATACATCTCTGCCATATGGCGCCACAAAGCCACTGGGGACGGGTTATTTAAAGCAAATATTAGACGAGCAGTCATCTGAAGTACTCGGCGCAATTGCTTTCCGCACACAACAGCATCACCGTAACTCGTCCAACAACCAAGAAGCACACTCAAGCCATGATTGTATGTGTAGACAAAACGTTAAGCGTGTTCACCAAATAATTTGGGTTAACAAACTCATAGAGGGCAGTGAGTCTCATAGAGGGCAGTGAGTCTCATAGGGGCAGTGAGTCTCATAAGGGCAGTGTGTGTCATAGGGGCAGTGAGTCTCATAAGGGCAGTGAGTCTCATAAGGGCAGTGAGTCTCATAAGAGCAGTGAGTCTCATAAGGGCAGTGAGTTTCATTGAGGGCAGTGAGTCTCATAAGGGGAGTGAGTCTCATAGAGGGCCGTGAGTCTCATAGAGGCCTGTGAGTCTCATAAGGGCAGTGAGTCTCAGAGGCAGTGAGTCTCATAAGGGCAGTGAGGCTCATAAGGGCAGTGAGTCTCATAGAGGACAGTGAGGCTCATAAGGGCAGTGAGTCTCATAAGGGGAGTGAGTCTCATAAGGCCAGTGAGTCTCATAGAGGGCAGTGAGTCTCATAAGGGCAGTGAGTCTCATAAGGCCAGTGAGTCTCATAAGGGAAGTTAGTCTCATAAGGGCAGTGGGTCTCATAAGGGCAGTGAGTCTCATAAGGGCAGTGAGTCTCATAAGTGGATGGGGCGGGAGTTGTTGGTGCAACAGGAAGAGACGTCACGTCTTGTTTGCGAATGTCGCATTTGACAAACCCTGGGCAGGGGACCGGGGGGGGGGTGGGGACAGGTGGTTTAATGCACGTCCCGGTGACATCCACGCACATGTGCTCAGGAAAAGCGAGGAGAGGTGTTTGACTTGATAACCCTTTTACGCTCACCACAACTCGAATGCTTTCTCGTAGGGGAGAAAAAGTTGCTTCAACGAGAAGCTGACTCGATTAATAATAAAAGTTATTTTTATCGAATCCAACCAAGACACGTAGCTAGCTAGGGTTAGTGCCACCGGTTTTTCTTTCGGGCATCTTTTTTTGGAGGGGGGGGGGGGTCACTGCCCCCTCCCCGAAGCAAGTCAAGCGCCCCCCCCCCTGGAGAAAAATTAAATGAACTGATATTTGATAACAAAAATTGTCATTTTCAACAAGAATGTTAATTGGTGGCTTTAACGGATTACAATTATTGGAAACTTTAAAATATCACCACACTTACACTCGATAGACCTGGTGACCAATGATCCCGCTAAGGTTTGCTGGTTCGTGTGCGAAATCATACATCACATTTTTACAGCATCAATTTTTTTTGTGCGCAAAATTTTACAGCCGGCGGTCACAAACACACACTTAAGTGGAAATTAGCTGCGCGGTACTCAAAACTGCTGCGCGGCGTCTGTGCGATTGCTTTTGCTGCGCAGCTTAAAGGGAACATTGCTGGTGATCCGTACATTTATCAAGGTAAAGAGGCGTGCACGGTTCGATTAAAAAACATCGTGGACCTACTCAACTGTTCCGAAAGTTGGCCGCTCCTGATTATAAGCCAAAGATTTTTTTGTTGCTGTGTGCGTACATCGGTATTCTTATTTGTTTATTTATTGCAACTTCACTAGTTTGAAGGTTTTAATAACATTACATTAAACGACTTTTACATCAATAGAAAGGTCTATAATTTTAATGTAGTCCTTACCAGTGTCGTAGGTAGGGTTGGTTTCACCCGGTGCGGTAAACTCATGGTGTCATTCCCCCCCCCCTTTGCCCCCCCCCCATTCTCGACTTCCACTATGGATTTCTTCTTTTTAGAATAAGTCCATAGTATAACATTGACAAGAACAAAAACAAATAAATTGAAGGTCGGGAGGTAAATGTATTTAAGAACTGTAACAAGTACTTAGCATCACGCGACCACATTGTATTTGGTATCAATGGAAAGCTTTATTTCTCGGAATTTATATAAATATAGCTTCCTATCACTTACGAATTCGCTTACTTCTAATGTGCGCATATGCATATCCTGGTCTTATTTTTTTTTATTCTAGCTTTGGTATCAAGTGTTTCCCATAAAATAGATCAACACGGCCCTTGTCAAAATTAGTTGGTGGAGTCATGTTTCAGTTCTTAGTAGCCAAAGTTGTACCTTGTATGGCTACATGCACCCATAGAATATCGTGTGGTGCTCATATGCAAAAAAAGGATTGACTTCCGAGTGATGATGTAACCATTACAAACATATAACTTTATTTATGGTGTAATTGTATACTGGCGAATGAATATTATTAGACTGAAAGTAAAATAAATTTCAAACACTTAATGAAACTTTTTTAGTCCATCATAAGCCAGTAATATCACATGGTGGGGCAGAATTTTGTGAAGTGTGCCAATGAAGTATAATTAATTTTCGTTCCCGGAAAAAAAGTTTTTTTTTTTTTTTTTCCCCCCCCCCCCCCCCTTTTTTAGGCCTTCAAATTTAGTGTGAACATTTTTCATCTTTTGATGTCAACATGCACAAGCAAAATTTTGAATGGTTTAAAGAAAAATCAAAACAATTTATTTTTTACATATGCGTGACAAATAATGCACATTATTCATCCAACGCAATACATAGTTTCTATTTCTTGTTGTTTCTTCATTTGTCCTGTCTGCTGGAAAAAAAGCTTTTAACCCAAACGTTCATATCTCATAGTCCCGTCTTTATATTTCAAGTTTATACGTTCCACATTTTGTGTTCCACTATTTCCATCACACAGCTTGAACGCAGTCCTTCATGTATTATCCGCGCAATAAAAATAAAGACAAGTTGTGGCGTCCTGCAAATTTACATCACAACGGCCGTGGTGTCACACGTAGAACGAAATAAATGAGCTTCATTTTATTACTAAGTTTACTCTAATCACGATTGTTTGCACAGAAATTCGACGTTTGGAACCAATCAAGAGTGAAACAAAGAGATGCATTTTGAGTAGAGCGGAGCACAACCGCTATTGACCGCTCTACACTGGATGCCAAGTCTTTAGGACGATGCTACCCTCGTGGCACGCAATCCCATGCACTTTGAATTACGAAAATAAATTTTATTTTGTATATTTCTTTCTTTGTTTTGTTGTTGTTGTTGTTGTTTGTCTTTTTAGTTTACAAAATGTCGGTACATTTTATCACATACTTTATTCAATATAAAAAAGACGATTACTTACGGCTTAAACAAAACTCTTCAATTCGAAAATCCCGTCAGAGTTAATCCCCGTGAAGTCACTCGTGAATATCAAGATGTCTCGTAATCTGAATGTGTTTACAAATGTCTTTCCCCTCAAGATTAATACTATGCAGGCGCGCACTCTCGTATTATACTGAGCTCATCCATAAACTCTTTTGATGGGTAAACTTTTTAAAAAAAATCTATTCCCCGCCTTGCCCCCCCCCCCGCGCGGGGAAACAGGAGTGTGGAGTGTGAGCTGGCCACGTAACTCAAGAGTAATCCATTTTTTGTCCCATGAAACACAGCGTATCGACGTCAACTTTGGAGCACTTAGAACACACGACGGTAAAACAGTCCGCCCGTGATGGCCTCAGTTAGTGAAGATGATCCACACGGAGAACTGGAACACGTCATCAAGTTATTTACCGAATCAATCACCGTCAACTAACACGCGCATGTAATGATGGCGATAGATCCACCTTTACCTGAACGACTCCGACACCAAGGCCACCTCCGATAACTGACGGCTGATGATACATTAAAAAAAAAAATCATTAGGCCTGGGTATTCCCGAAATGGTTATGAAGGTGCAACAACAAGAAACAAGAAGTTTCAACAGAAACTTGGAGCGGGCGGCGATTTCAAGTGTCAATGGGTGTAACACCCAATCAAAATCCGTCGTCGTCGTCGTCGTCCCCCCCCCCCCCCCAAAAAAAAAAAATTAATTAAAAAATTAAAATTACAGCAGGGATAGGAACATTTTAACTAAAGTGACCGGATAAAACGGAAAAATGGTTCGGCAACAGCGTCACATTTTAAAAAGATGAGGTAGGCTACATTCAAATTTTGTTGAAACCTCGTTACCGCGATTGAAAAGCTCCTTCCCTTTCTTAATGGGTCGTTCCCGGTATATTGACTCAGACTACATCCCATGAGAACACACACAGCAGCTAAGAGTTTATAATAGTAAGATACACCACTATTATTTTATGAACACTGCTATTAAATTGGAATACCCTAGAATGTAGCCGAGGTAAAACTTAAACCAACAATAGAGCTTTCAAACCAAAAATCACAATGGAAAAAAAAATAATAAATTCTTCTACAACTTACAGCAGGCCAAAGTCTCGATGTGCAAACACAACATAGTGGATGCCATATTCTTTATTCTGAACAAAGGCGTAGGGCGGGGGCCGGGGGGGGGGGGAGGGCTGCGCCGTCCGCTCTGGGCGGTATCTTTTTCTTTAGACGGAAAGGTGCCCATGGCATTTACGGCAAATGCAGTTCTTTTGTTGCTTTTTTTACAATTGTGTGTTTGTTTTCTTTTTTTCTTTTTTTTTTTCTTTCATTCTTTTTTTTTTCTTTTTCAGAAGGGGCAAACATTTTGCCGAACCCGGCGGCACTAACTCTGGCTACGCCACTGATTCGAAACAAATGCCCCTTTCACTCCCCTCATCTAATAATCCGTTTGTATAATCACGTAACCAATAGTACCCGCTGGTAGCTCAGTCAGGGGTTCTCATTCTTACCCGGCAGTTTGGGAAATGTCTTAAATTTGACGTGCACCGCAATCAACTTGACAGTCCTTGTTAACATACTATTATATACCTGACAGTCCTTGTTGACATAATATTATGGACACACGCCATGAATGACAAATGACAAGAAGAATCAACTTGGTGTTTGTTTCCTTATCGGTCGTACCGTATCATAAAAAGATAATTATAATTATTATCCGAAAGCTCAGTAATTTCAGCCAGTTTCTTTGGCTTTTATTATTCACTAAAGATCCTAGGAATCACACTGCAATCGTGCAATGCCTTCAAAATGTCTTGGACTTGGATCCTACATTTTGTTAAAATAATAACGTAGTATTTACGGTAAAAAAAAATTAGATCTATTCAAAGAATTTTCGAACAAATATATATATTTTTATAAAAAATTTAAATTTAAATACTTAAAAAAAACAACAAAAAAACAACAAAAAAACACATAAATTTTGTTTTAACTATGGAACCGGAAGCACTAAAAATATCTGCGACGAATGACTATAAATTGCCTCTTATAAGTCTATAAATGTAAGCCATATGAAGCAAACAAGTCACGTTGGTTTATATATGTCACACCCAACAGTGTTTACTATTATTCTTTTTATGATCATACACGTTTAAATTAACGCAAACAAGTAATAAAATAACAAATACTGATTGTTCCACTTTTTTTTAAATATATTTTTAATTTTTTTTATTTTTTTTTTTTTAACCGACAACCAAACATCTTAACGAACAAGTCATTTTTGTGACATTTGAAAGGATTGTCCACAAATTTATGGACGGTTGGGAACGGACGGTGTTCTGAGGGAACCAACAATTTTTTTTTTAAAGTTAAACTATACACTGAATAAATAAATGTAGCCAGCGCCGCAGCTAGTGTTAGTGCCGCCCATGATTCATCATGGGCCAAGATTGTCCACGCCCCATTCCACGAGCAATAAGTTGGCAGTAGGTCCAAAAATGCCACCCGTCAACATAAAGAAAATAAATGCCACCCGGGGGTGGGGTAACCTCCTCCCCCCTCCCCCCACCCCCCACACACACACACCCTTCCCACGCCACTGATTTGTATCTCTAAGTATTTTCTTTATTAGCACCCGAGACATACCTAAAATTTTACCCAATATATTTTTAAGGAGTGTTGCCTCAGACAAGATTGTACACGCTGAGATTAAACACGACCAGCCATTGTCTTTCCCGGTGTTCAGAAGTATCACGGGACACTGCTTTTTATCAACAACAATGAGTGGAGAAGAATTTAGAAGGGAAAAAAAAATCACTCGCAAAGGCTAATTCAATTCGTTTATCGCACTAGTCACCAGCACTTGTGTCACAAGATATGATATGACTTTGCATTGTGCTGTTATCACTTTCACAAGTTTTTGGAGACCATATCATACAGGCCTACTTATTTATATCACTAATATAATCGTATATCATTATGTATGGAAGCTATTAATCTAATAAGCGTGTTTTCATTCAAAAATAAAATTACTATCATGCTGAAGGCTGAAAATATTCAGCTATAGCGTCGTAAAGAATTTCATAGCCACCTGCCTTTAATTTCTCCCACAATGAAACCCAGGAAGAAACAGTGCAATTACGTGTGCTCACTCGTTCTCATCGTCCTCGTCCCCCCCTCCCCACCCCCCCCACACACACATTTATATTATCTAATTAGAAGGCTGTACAACTTAATGCAGGTGTTCCCGAGTTCCTGTCTTTTTTGTTACGAAATAAATAGCCAACATAGTTATGAGTGTGGGCGGGGGGAGGGGTAGGGAGGGTCTTGGGTGGAGCTCCTACACATTGACCCCAATGACTTGACCTCCTTTTCGAAATGCATTCTAAACCTTTCTTCACAGCTACGCCAGATCGGCATGATATTTTATTAGACAGTAACATACATGGAGGTATGGAGAGGTGACAGAGAGCTATTCGCCAAATAGACAGTAACATACATGGGCGTAGGGAGAGGTGACAGAGAGCTTTTCGCCAAATAGACAGTAACATACATGGGCGTAGGGAGAGGTGACAGAGAGCTATTCGCCCATTAGACAGTAGCATACATGGGTGTAGGGAGAGGTCACAGAGAGCTATTCGCCCATTAGACAGTAACATTATTGGGCTTAGGGAGAGGTCACAGAGAGTTATTCGCCCATTAGACGGTAACATACATGGACGTAGGGAGAGGTGACAGAGAGCTATTCTCCCATTAAACAGTAACATACATGGGCGCAAGGAGGTTGACAGAGAGCTATTCGCCCATTAGACAGTAACATACATGGACGTAGGGAGAGGTGACAGAGAGCTATTCTCCCATTAAACAGTAACATACATGGGCGCAAGGAGGTTGACAGAGAGCTATTCGCCCGAGGTGCTTTTATTGGGGGGGGGGGGGGAGGGGGGGGGTTCATTTTCGCTTTACTTCATACACTTTTAATAGCTTTGTTTCTTTTCTTTATGAATTCTATTTACGTTGTAATTTGTGTTAATGTGTGGGGTGCCAGGGCATAAAGGGCAACATTTTGGGCGACTGAGAAATGAGAACGGGTTTAATATCAATTGAAAAATCGAACAGTAAACGCTGGCAATGAGGTGTCGTCCATTAATTTCTTCAACAGGTGCTCATTTCTTATGCATTGTCGGTTCAGTTGAACATGCTTTTTCAACATGACTTTTGATGCAAAATAAATGGTACAGATTTTTTCAAATCCGTTCAAGCAGCGATGTTATTATTGTTACACACTTTACATTCACCTAATTCTCAAAATATCGTATTCCTACTCTATCAATATCATTTATCTGGACTGCACACGGCACTTGAAACCTTGTCCGTGTTCCATACCTGCAACAGAATCTACAGGTGAAGAGAGGCCAACTTTTAACTTCTCTTGCACTAACAAAGTGTGCTAACATTTGTGACCAGCCATCTGCAGTGCACAGACACACATTAAATAAATCTTATATTGTTAAAACCCTAAAAAAATATATGACTATTTACACTCATTTACAGTTTTATATTTTTTTAAAATAATGTAATAACCAGTCAATTTTTAAGATTACAATTTTAATAGAGACAACAGGATTGTTGACGTCAACTAATCTAAACCCCCTCCCTCCCCCCTTGTCAACACCTGTCAAACATTTCCAACCCCCCCCCCTATTTTGTTGACGTAATTAATGGACGCCCCACGGACCACTTTTCCTTACCAATTTTATTATGTATTATACAGAATATTTTTTTTTTAAATATTACATTTATTAAATAATAAAAATAATAATACATTTACTCTTGGTTTATTTGTACTTTTTTTTTTATTATTTAAAGATTTTGATTTTTTTTTTTCTGCTTGCTTTATATCATGATTTTTTTTTTTTTTTTTTTAATTTGGTAACCGGTAACCGGTTTGTGTAAATTAACAACCGGTTTTAAACCCAAAAACTGTTTTTTTTTTTTTTTTTTTTTAAATATTACATTTATTAAATAATAAAAATAATAATACATTTACTCTTGGTTTATTTTTTCTTTTTTTTTTATTATTTAAAGATTTTGATTTTTTTTTTTCTGCTTGCTTTATATCATGATTTTTTTTTTTTATTTTTTAAATCGGTAACCGGTAACCGGTTTGTGAAAATCAACAACCGGTTTTAAACCCAAAAACTGTTTTTTTATTTAACGCCCTTTAAATGTGTATATTTTAGTTAGAATGGGCACAACAATTAGACCATCAATGATGAGATGAAAAAATATGTGACAATAACAGGAGCCCGAGGTATAGGCTATATATAATGATATAATGCTGGGGCCATCAAATAACACAGTGAAGGATGACTTGAGGAGACGGCAGATAACATATAAAGAAACTGCTTTAGGTCAGTTAATAGTAATCCCGTCGAGCCCACTTATCTCGACCTCGGCTAACTCGCCAATCCTGTTATGTC